CTGCCTCGTGTTTATCTAGATTATAAAAGTATGATGACACATGATTTTATTGTTAAGAATAGGGAAGGAGAGCTTAAATATCAATTGTTCTTTAATAAACATCATCCTGAGACTATTACCCTGCCTGCTCCTTCTTTGTTTGATTTACTTGTAGGCACGTACCTTGTTCCGTTGAAGGCTATTCAAGCCTACCGGAACCCTGCACCAGCTGAGGAGCCAGAGCCGGAACCACAAATTGATCCTTCACGACAGTCTAATTACCAGTGGGATCCGGAGATGATTGTCAGCCAGTGGCAAGCTGAGTCTTCCTCTTCTTCATCTCAGTACGACCCCAACTATTATTATGGGTATCCGCCAGGCCAGCCGTGGCCATAGACCAACTTAGGCCAAAAGGCTAAGCTTGGGGGAGTACGTATTTCCCACCGACATTACATTTATGTTCACATACTCATTGCTAGATGTTGGTGCTCATACTTTTTCATTATATCGTCCATGCTCGTTTACTTTCCTTTTTATATTTTCTTCTTGTGTGTTTAATAAACCTTAAGAAAAACCAAAAAATTAGTTGTAGCTTTTAATTAATTTACTTTCCATGCTTTTAGTAGTAATTTAAAAGAAAACCCAAAAATATTTCATGTTCTTCTTTTGCTTGTTGGGAGCTTTCCCGTGTAAATAGTTTTATTTCTTTTCTTTTCTTTGGGGGCCGATAGGAGAAGACCACAATTAAACTGTTGAAGTGGCTCTTATATGCATTATTGTTGATCTGACAAAAAGAGCCCATATTGCCTTGTCTTCTCCTGTTTATTGAATGCCCGCAGATTCCAACTTAGTCCAATGCACGTGCACTATTATTATTATTCACATCGTTCGGTCGTGCAAGTGAAAGGCAGTTATGATGTTATATGATGGACTAGCTGAGATGAGAAAAACTGGTATGAACTCGACCTCTTTTGTTTTTGTAAATATGATTAGTTCATCGTTCCCGATTCAGCCTATTATGAATAAACATGTTTGCAATGACAATTAGAGATCATAGTTTCTTGTGCCATGCTTGATTAGTTATGGGTTATAATGGTTTACCTTGCGTGCCAACATGCTATTGAAATGGTTATGATGTGGTATGATAGGGTGGTATCCTCCTTTAAATGATTTAAGTGACTTGACTTGGCACATGTTCACGCATGTAGTTGAAACAAAATCAACATAGCCTTCACGATATTTATGTTCATGGTGGATTATATCCTACTCATGCTTGCATCCGGTGTTGATTAATTTTAATGCATGTTCATGACTGTTGCCGCTCTCTAGCTGGTCGCTTCCCAGTCTTTTGCTAGCCTTCACCTGTACTAAGAGGGAATACTGCTTGTGCATCCAATCCCTTAAACCCCAAAGTTATTCCACATAAGTCCACTATACCTACCTATATACGGTATCTACCTGCCGTTCCAAGTAAATTTGTATGTGCCAAACTCTAAACCTTCAAATAAATATCATGTTTTGTATGCTCGAATAGCTCATGTATCAACTAGGGTTGTCTGTATCTTCCATGTTAGGCGGGTTATTCTCAAGAGGAGTGGACTCCGCTCCTCACTCACGAGATAAATGGCTGGTCACCGGGATTCCCAGTCCCATGCTTTATGCAAACTAAATCAAAATAATTGCAAACAAAACTCCCTCTGGGACTCTTGTTAGTTGGAGGCACTCGTTGTTTCGAGCAAGCCATGGATTGATGCTTATTGGTGGAAGAGGGAGTATAAACTTTACCATTCTGTTTGGGAACCGCCTATAATGTGTGTAGCATGGAAGATATCGCCATCTCTTGGTTGTTATGTTGACAATGAAAGTATACCGCTCAAAATATTATTCACCTTTGTTTCAAAACTGAGCTCTGGCACCTCTACAAATCCCTGCTTCCCTCTCCGAAGGGCCTATATATTTACTTTTATGTTGAGTCATCCTCCTCTTATTAAAAAGCACCAGTTGGAGAGCACCGCTGTCATTTGCATTCATTACTGTTTTTTTACATTGAGTATGACTTGACTGGATCTCTTTTACCATGAATTACAATGTCTAGTCAGTCCTTGGTCTTTAAAGGTGCTCTGCATTTATGTTTTGCGGTCTCAGAAAGGGCTAGCGAGATACCATCTTATTATATCATATTATGATTGAGTTTGTAAAAGTTTTTCTTTATCACTTTCAGTTTATCAACTGAATTGCTTGAGGACAAGCAAAGGTTTGAGCTTGGGGGAGTTGATACGTCTTCAACGTATCTACTTTTTCAAATACTTTTGCCCTTGTTTTGGACTCTAACTTGCATGATTTGAATGGAACTAACCGGACTGACGCTGTTTTCAGCAGAATTACCATGGTGTTATTTATGTGCAGGAGCAAACGTTCTCGGAATGACCTGAAACTTTACAGAGCCACTGTTCAGAAAATAAGAAAAATACCTGCAAAAGATGAAGGCCAGGGGGCCCACCACCTTCCCACGAGGGTGGGGGGCGCGCCCCCCTACCTCGTGGCCCCCCTGTTGCCTCTCCGACTTCAACTCCACCTCCATATATTGAGTTTTGGGGAGAAAAAAAATCAGAGAGAAGAAATCAACGCGTTTTACGATACGGAGCCGCCGCCAAGCCCTAAAACCTCTCGGGAGGGCTGACCTGGAGTCCGTTCGGGGCTCCGGAGAGGGGAATTCGTCGCCATCGTCATCATCAACCATCCTCCATCACCAATTTCATGATGCTCACCGCCGTGCGTGAGTAATTCCATCGTAGGCTTGCTGGACGGTGATGGGTTGGATGAGATATATCATGTAATCGAGTTAGTTTTGTTAGGGTTTGATCCCTGGTGTCCACTATGTTCTAAGATTGATGTTGCTATGACTTTGCTATGCTTAATGCTTGTCACTAGGGCCCGAGTGCCATGATTTCAGATCTGAACCTATTATGTTTTCATCAATATATGAGTGTTCTTGATCCTATCTTGGAAGTCTATAGTCACCTATTATGTGTTATGATCCGTTAACCCTGAAGTGACAATAATCGGGATACTTACCGGTGATGACCGTAGTTTGAGGAGTTCATGTATTCACTATGTGTTAATGCTTTGTTCCGGTTCTCTATTAAAAGGAGGCCTTAATATCCCTTAGTTTTCGTAAGGACCCCGCTGCCATGGGAGGGTAGGACAAAAGATATCATGCAAGTTCTTTTCCATAAGCACGTATGACTATATTCGGAATACATGCCTACATTATATTAATGAACTGGAGCTAGTTCTGTGTCACCCTAGGTTATGACTATTACATGATGAACCGCATCCGACATAATTTTCTATCACCGATCCATTGCCTACGAGCTTTCCATATATTGTTCTCCGCTTATTTACTTTTCCGTTGCTATTGTTATCATCACTACAAAATACCAAAAATATTACTTTTACTATTGTTACCTTTTGCTACCGTTATCACCACTATCATATTATTTTGCTACTAAACACTTTGCTGCAGATATTAAGGTTCCAGGTGTGGTTGAATTGACAACTCAGCTGCTAATACTTGAGAATATTCTTTGTCTCCCCTTGTGTCGAATCAATAAATTTGGGTTGAATACTCTACCCTCGAAAACTGTTGCGATCCCCTATACTTGTGGGTTATCACCAAACACCTCTAAGGCGGCAAGATCAGTTTCTCGAAATAACAATGGAAGAAGCTCCCAAAAATATGTCAATCCCGATTATGACAAACACCGACAACAAGTCAACATATGAGACGCCTCCCTCAACGTTGGATTTAGCTGGCTGCTCAACACGTGAGACGTCTCCATTAACGTTGAATTTAGCAAGATCGGCTGGAGGTGGTTTCCATGAAGAGCTATGGCATTTGCTTGTACGTACCTTATTCTTAATTGGCCCAATTATTTTTTGAGAGAGTTCTTCACTGGAGTGCTGGATGATTACCTTTTTTAGGGGGTTGCTAAGATTACATTGATCATAATAGATGTTTGTACGGATACATAATGGATCATGAGAGTGCCAAGCTACATGTGGTGACTCAGATCAAGCGAATGAGAAAACTCTAGGTTACAAGCCTCTGTGTTTGACTTTCGCCCACAAAACAAAAGAACCAGCTACTAGTGTTTTCTTTTTTTATCTATTACCTCCTTAATGATGGAGACAAAGAGACCTACAAAGTTCTGATGTTATACATGATAGTTTTGCAGTAAAATGCTATAACAACCTTGGAAAGTGAAAGATCTTCTGCAAGAGCTTGTGCTTATCGGCAAGCTAAGGCAACAGAAGTCGGGCCTGTAACCTCTGGGAATACAATCGAACATGACCCTGGATATTGCATATCCTGGTCACGACATACTACACCCGCTTCCCTAGAATTCCCATTGCGGGACACTCCACCATCGATATTGATCTTCACGTGGCCTACCAATGGAGGCTTCCACTCTCGAGAGCGACGAGCACGTTCAACCGTTGGTTGGACGACAACAGTAATAGCCTTTGTGATGCATTCGAGCTCAGAAATGTACCTACCCCGAACAGGTTCGCCGAGAGTGGACTTTGAAAAATTCCTTCGTGAATAGCTTTTTTCCTCGCCTTTGAGATAGCCCATAGGCTATAGGTAACAACAAGCTTGATGAAGCTCGCATGAGGTAGAATATCCATCATGCCGAATATCCATTGCTTAGAGCTCGGGTCTTTTGATGCCATTAGGTGTTCTGACAACGGAAGATCTCTAATCATTCTCATTTTTTAGAACAGCTAATTATAATTATTCTCATGCCCCTGCAAAAAATGAATTATTCTCATGTCGTCCTAATTGGGCCGGGGGCAACCAACCAGGCCGGTCCGTAAACCCAAAATTTCTTTGCCGAGAGCGAGGTGGACCCCACCTAACAGTTGCCCAGCTTCTCCTCACTTGGGCCTGGCTTGGGCACATTCTTCTCCTCCTCCTCCTCCTCCTCTCTCTCTCTCTCTCTCTCTCTCTCTCTCTCATGGCGGCGGCCACCTCCTCGTCGGCGGTGGCGGTATCTACGCCGCAGGGAGTGGCGGAGCGGCGGGGAATCCCGGCGGCGTCCTTCGTCGAGGATGTCGAGACCTACCTCCGGCAGGCCGGGCTCGAGGTCAACTCCGCCCTCGCCTTCCTCCAAGAAAGGTAATCGCTGCTCCGCCCCGCTCCCCTCCCCTACACCCTACCTTTCTCTCCCCGTGTTCATCTCGAAGGATACGTCGGCTTTGGCGTTCTCGCGGTGTTCCGGGTCCCTGGTCCGGCTGCCGCTGCAACTGGGAGGGAAGCTAGATCCTTTTGGCTGCTTCTCGCGATGTGCCCTCCATCTGTTTGGTAAATTCGGGAGCTGGGTGGGTGGCCATCGGCTCGCTCTTGATCCGGAAATCGTCTCAAACGTGGGACGATTCGCGTCCTTACCATCACCATGTACTCCATCCGTCCCATAATATAAGATCTTATTACATCCAGTATGAGTACTTTTGATCTATCTCAGCAAAGCTCCTCTACATGTTAGATCCTTGTAGGGGTCAGTGCTGCTTCCACCACTTGTTTGGTTGCCAGACTAGCTCACAGATTGCAGTGGTCGTTGGAGTAGGGTTTTGCGACTGGTGCTGTGCTTATGTGGCCCCTGCTTGGATTGGATCTCTGCAAGTTTTCAGTCTCTATTGCCTACTTGTGGATGAGCATCGTAGATTATTAGTCCAAACTATACACCGTGTCGAACTCCTAATTCATTGTGGCCCGGAAGAGGCAAACTCTGCCATAAGCTGTGCAGGCCACGCGAGAGAGGCTTATTGTCAACTCAATCATGGGATACGGTTCATTCACATGTCGAATGAACTGCTTATTATGATATCTTGCATATTCGACCAAATTCGTTGTTGAATTTACGGCCTACCCTCTGTTCCTCACCCTAATCCATGGTGCCGCTCACAATGGTACTGAGGCCAGAGTTTAGAGACCAATATATATATAACGTTATTCCAGTTTAGTTTAAACCATATACAGATAAGTTTCCAGATAATCAATCTGTTTAAACAAAGACTCCAGATTAGCACAACCAACCACGATCATTAGTAATCAAATAGGAGTCTCAACTTAATCTGTAATAAGGTCTCATCACGCATGTGTGAGTCATGCGCCGGATTTGAATAAATTCCAATTCAAATCTGCAGGCTTTTAAACAATCCATATAGCCAAATTATGGACAACCTGGTCATTCCTATCATGCGGTGCCCGGGCTATATAAACAAAGTTTAATTTCCAGTACACATGTACTATACTTCCAGCATGATGTACCGGCTTCCTTGGACTAATTTCTGTCCAAGTTTCCATGTACACCGTACATGTATATGATACTTTCAATTCCACATCTACACTTTCCAGGAGATAAAATAGCAGTAAAATAAATGTTATAAGCCACACACACATATACTGAATATTCCAACATTCATCTGGGTTGACAGTTCCTGCAAATAAAGTCGATGTTCCCTCCATTATATTTGAACCTGCCATTCCATAATGACTGATTTTGTTGTTCCTTTGTGGTTTATATTATATGGTCTCTAGTATTTCTTTTGAAAACTATGAAAAGTATGTACGTTCTTGCCTTCAGCGTTCACTTCTAGTTGGTAGGCAGCTGCAACTGATTTTGTGCATCACAGTTCGATATTTATCTGAATAAGAGCAGTTTAATATTATTTCTCCAGCAAGTTTCAGCAAAAATGTTGTTTGTCCCTACATGTGTACATTACACTTTTTACCTGGTTATTTTTTGATACTTGGTTCTGCTTTAGAGAAATGTAACCCGTCTCTTAATTTTTTTAGGCTGCAGCAGTACAAAATGGTGGAGATGAAACTTTTAGCACAACAAAGAGAACTTCAGGTGCTCATACTTTTTCTTCTTAGATTTATTAAGATCAAATATGACTTTTGAGTGGAAGTTTGCTTAATTGCTTATATTTACTTCTTTGACGATGTTTTTTGTGCTTTTGAATTATAATTTGTGTGTTCCACAGCACAATTGTTCTCTAGTTAATACTGATAAAAGATTGAGAATTAGTACTGTAAAAATGTCAAAGCTTACATGGAGTCAACTCTTGATCATTTACCTAACTTAGCACCATGCTAACTTCTATTAGCAGTTATCATTGATACATGCTAGTTTTAGCATATACTTTATAAACTTAGCCAGCTCTTCTTATTACAGGCGAAAATTCCTGATATAGAAAAATGCTTGGATATTGTTGCGACATTGAAAGCTAAAAAAGCTTTGGGCGAGGTTTGTATAATTTCCTTAACTCCGCTCCTTTTTCAGTTTACTTTTTCTATTTCTGTGCATTGAATTTTCCCCTTTTGCTCAGCCTAATGATTTAAATTAATGTATATTTCTTACTTTGAATACCATGAAGCATGATTTTACTGCTGAAGGTTGTAGTTACATTACTTTATCACTTAACCTGTAAAATGTCAAGTTTGACCTTTTGCATGTTTCTTAACAGTTTGCTGCTAACACTTCATTACCTTAGTTTAATATGATAGGTTATTATTCATTTTTACTTGTTTCAGTTATCTCTAAAATGGGGAATACAGATCATATTATACTTTTTTAGTCCATTTTCTTTATTCATTTGCTAGTTGCTAACATCTGTTAAACTCATCTTTTGAAAATGAAACAGTTCAAACTTGATAATGTCTTGAAACTGTAACCATGCTGAACGCTTGTTCTGAATGGAATCATTCAAGTGAAAGTTAAGTAGTTAACTATCTGTGTCTTTCATATATTTAATGCAGGCACTCATAGCTGATTTTGAATTATCTGAGGGAATCTATTCGCGTGCTAAAATCGAGGACTCTGACTCAGTGTGCCTATGGTTGGGTGCAAATGTGATGCTGGAATACTCCTGTGACGAGGTATAGTTTTAAGCATTGTCATATTGCTGTCCTTCGATTTTTAGTTTCCCCCTTCATTTCTGGGAGTTTTGCAGGCCAATGAGCTCTTGAAAAGTAACTTGGAAAATGCGAGGGCCAGTTTAGAAGTCCTTGTTGGCGATCTTCATTTCTTACGGGACCAGCAAACGATAACTCAGGTAAAATGGCCATGATTAGTTTGACTGCTCACCATCATCTCACGCTCAGTATTGCTAAACTCAATTATTTGTCAGGTTACAATTGCTCGGATATTTAACTGGGACGTGCACCAGCGGAGAAGCAAGCAGTCTGTTATGAAAGAAACATGATCATCATAGGGTATGCGCAGCCAATGAAATCGGGTTATTTTTGTACTTCTTGCTGCCTCTGGCGATTTAGTCTGTCGTCATAGTGTGTGTGCTCTTTGCTGGTGATGGTGCCTTGGCCGCGTGACAGAAATGTATCAATCGCATTCAGTTTATGGTATTGGAACTCTAAACTGTGTGGTGTAGATGACACTCGCTTCTGATTTTGGGCTACATGTACTTGTTTAGCGCTTGATGAAACAAAATTTGCGAAGCATTTTTTTTGTTCATTACCTTCTTTTCTGGCATGTTCACTGGTTTTAAATCCTCTAAAAGATGAGCTGCTCCAGTGCCAATTTACAGAGTATCCTTTGCAATGTTTACCAGTTACTGCATTTCTGCAGGCTGGTTACGGCTAGGTGTTAATCGATAGGGTTACTATTACTCTGTTTTTTCTTAAGAAATGTTAAAAGAATCTGACATCAGTTTTTTAACCATGGCAAATCGTACGTTTTTATGGCAAATCAAGTTGTTGCGAGGATGGCAATTTTCTTGGACCCTGATAAGTGTCGCATGTCAGGTATGAGCACATGGCAATTCCAAACGTTTTTAATGGCAAGTTTAATGATGCGAGGATAGCAACTTTCGTGCTTTAGTAGTTTATTTTTGACAGAAACTTGCTGTGTGTCGTTGGAATTTGCCATCCTTGGTGACTGGAATTGCCATCGAAAAACGTTGGGGCCGGATTGCCACGCACCTGATGTGTGACACTTATTATTTAGGATTTTCTTTAGCAAACGTAGAAAATCCTGTCAGTAAAACTGAACATGGCATGGATTTGTCACGGTTACTAGAGAAAATTGCCATCCTCGCGACAATCTAACTTGTCATTAAAAACATTCAATTTGCTATGGTCACAAAACTGACATTCGTTTGTAGCGAAATCCTTTTTCTTTTCTTTCGTGGGGTACTATTATTCTGCTTTTGCATCAAGAGGCCATTGATCAGGCTCCTTCCTTTCGGTCACACTTGATGACGAGTTTCAGGACTCCCTATCACACGAAAGAAGAAGATGACATGAAACCACATTTTTCTGACTGGGCGGCGGTCGGTCGCCTGTGGCAGCCCGCCCTGATCAATTTCTAGGCGAGGGGGAAAGCTCCACCCTAGTCGTGCTGTTAAGAACTCAACCTTAAGTTGAAACTTTCTCAAGCGTCATTGCATGCTCTGAGCAGCACCTGACACCCAGTAGAAACACACACCGTGCTGCTGTTGACATTCTGATGAAGAGTATGACAGCAACCTATGCTAACCCTACAGCTACAGGTAACCGCCTCGCTGACTAACATGCTCCGAAACTCGGTCAATCTGTTGCTGCTGCTTTGCCTTAGAGGTCCCATCCTACTTGGCCGACATTGGTAGCTTGCCACATGTTGTTCTCAGGTTAGTTAGCTTTTCAGATGTGATTGAAACCAGGCATCTATATCCTCACTATGAATCTGTGGCCATACGAATATGTGGATCAGCTTCCTCATAAATTTACTTTGATTTTCAAATGGAAAGAAAAATAACAACAAGAAATCCATGTTCTCTGTCGGTGAATCCAAGCTCCGTTAACCGAATTGCTAGCCACGACTTTCCTTCTGAATGCTGAAACCTACTGGAGTTCCATATCACTTTCCAGTTGAAAATTTCTCAAGTTGCCGCGAGCGACAAATCAACAAGAAACCAGAAAAGGAAAGTATCTATCACTATCACGAGTTACCGACTTTTCTAATCTTTTGCCGACATCTACCTGACACCAACGTTCTAAAGGAAAAGTGATATTGCAGTTTTTGAAGTGTTAGGCTCCACAGCCATTCTTACTTCTTAGTTCATGTTTCAATTTTTGGGGCACCAGGGGAAAGCAACATTTTTTTTTCTGATGTCCTAAAACCATTTCTCTCCCCTAAAATCATTTTTAGGACACCAATGTTTTGGGGCAGCATTTGGAGATGCTCTTAGCTGTTGCTAGCTAAGATGTGATTTTAAAACTTCTTTTTTTCTGGTTAATTTGTTAATCATCATTTTGTTTCCTGGCTGTGCTGTTAATACCACGGCCGTCCTAATCTGATGTATGTGGCTACAGCTAACATTCAAGCTTTGTCCTCTTGGCATTCAACACCGACATTCCTCTAGTAATAGTGTTTGAGCCTGATTGTGCATGTAATCCATCAATCAAACACTGTTGTCATGAATGACGGAGTCCTACATTACGGCGTCTCTTTTGATGAGCTACAGAAATGCTGAGCCAGCTTGGTTGAGGCCTAGAACAATCTCATCTAACTCATTTATTAGTAGCGCACATGAACTTACTTAATTCCAGAATGAACTTGCCATTGGAAATCAACATTTAACCTGTAGAGATCTATCCTCTGAAACTACTGGAAGGCTTATGTCCTTGTTTTCTCTCGAAGCAACGCTACATTACGTTGTCCATGTTCTTTTTTTTCGTCCGTAAATTGAATCTATGATTTTCGAGCCTTGATTCAAATGTGAAGAATGATATTTACTCCCTCCGTTTCTAAATATAAGTTTTTTCAGAGATTCCAATAAGGGACTATATACGAAGCAAAATAAGTGAACCTACACTCTAAAATATGTTTATATACATCTGCATGCAGTTTGTATTAAAATCTCTACGAAGACTTATGTTTAGAAACGGAGGGAGTAGACGTGAAGACATAAAAAAACCAGACAGTACGATGAAAAAATGAGCTAGGCACATAACGATCAACAAAATATAAAATTACATTGAAATTATACTAGCCTTTTTCTTTCTCCGATCGATCGCGGTTCGACAGAGATTGAAAACTGCATTGAACCAATAATAAAAAAAATGACACATGCAAACCTCCTCGCCATACCCGGCTTTAAAGACGGCAATAGCCACTCGCGGTTTGAAACGAGATTTAAAAGTTGTTGAAGAAACATTCGTTGAAGCATCATCCCACACAGTACACGTTTGCAATCCATCGCCACTAGTCCAAAGAGTTGAAAAATTAGACCATGTCGCAATACAACATAGAAGAATATGTCAAAGTCGCCACATCAACAACAAACCAATTGCCCTTCTTGATAGACACACCGACCGCCAAGATCCGAAAAAAGCCAACAAACTTGACGGCACGAAGTCTCACAAGCCCTTCGTTGACGCCGGATCGAACATCGTCGAGGTAGGAAAAGATGGGAGAGACTTTACTTGAACACTCCATCACTGCCACCACCCCATCGATGTCGTCAGGGAAACAAAACCTAAGCAAAGAAAAAACGAAATAGACGGTCCCATTTCTTTTGGAACTGAATGTGAAGCATGTTGATCAAACGTGTTCAGGATGGATGACCACTTGTGTTTATTGAAAAGTGTTTGATCTAAACTCGTACTGCCCGGGGCCATGCTCCCGGCCTGTCATCCTTAACGTGGCAATCTAGGTGGTCACCTCTAACTAGATCGATATGCCCAACCGATCAACGTTAAATGCGTTCGATTAGCCATGCATACGGCCACACAAGACATGATAGAGAGGCTACACTTTTTTTAACACAACACAAACACACATGCTCATACATACACATATTAGAGAGGCAGCACCGGACTGACAAGTCCCAATGCAGCCACGTGATAATCCTTTTTACCATATTATAAACTCAGATGTTCATACACCATACTAGAGCATCTGGCTGACAAATCCCCAGTGCAACCACATGATCTTGTGCTAATGTTGTGCTGTATATAAACGCGCACACACACGACATGAGGTAAGATCCGGGAAGGCCGCAAAGCGAGCTGTTGGTGAAGCAAGGGGTCGGGCATATGAGGACCTCTACCAATGGTTAGGCACGAAGGAAAGTGAAAGGGACATCTATAAGATGGCTAAGATCCGGGAGAGGAAGACGAGGGATATTGGCCAAGTCAAATGCATCAAGGACGGAGCAGGCCAACTCTTGGTGAAGGACGAAGAGATTAAGCATAGATGGCGGGAGTACTTCGACAAGCTGTTCAATGGGGAGAATGAGAGTTCTACCATTGAACTGAATGACTCCTGTGATGAGACCAGCATGCGTTTTGTGCGGCGCATCCAGGAGTCTGAGGTGAAGGAGGCTTTAAAAAGGATGAAAGGAGGCAAGGCGATGGGCCCTGATTGTATTCCCATTGAGGTGTGGAAAGGTCTCGGGGACGTAGCGATAGTATGGCTAACCAAGCTTTTCAACCTTATTTTTCGGGCAAACAAGATGCCAGAAAAATGGAGACGGAGTATATTAGTACCAATCTTCAAGAACAAGGGGGATGTTCAGAGTTGTACTAATTACCGTGGAATTAAGCTGATGAGCCATACAATGAAGCTATGGGAGAGAGTCATTGAGCACCGCTTAAGAAGAATGACAAGCGTGACCAAAAATCAGTTTGGTTTCATGCCTGGGAGGTCGACCATGGAAGCCATTTTCTTGGTACGACAACTTATGGAGAGATATAGGGAGCATAAGAAGGACTTGCATATGGTGTTCATTGACTTGGAGAAGGCCTATGATAAGATACCGCGGAATGTCATGTGGTGGGCCTTGGAGAAACACAAAGTCCCAGCAAAGTACATTATCCTCATCAAGGACATGTACAATAATGTTGTGACAAGTGTTCGAACAAGTGATGTCGACACTGATGACTCCCCGATTAAGATAGGACCGCATCAGGGGTCAGCTTTGAGCCCTTATCTTTTTGCATTGGTGATGGATGAGGTCACAAGGGGTATACAAGGAGATATCCCATGGTGTATGCTTTTTGCGGATGATGTGATGCTAGTTGACGATAGTCGGATGGGGGTAAATAGGAAGTTAGAGTTATGGAGACAAACCTTGGAATCGAAAGGGTTTAGGCTTAGTTGAACTAAAACCGAGTACATGATGTGCGGTTTCAGTACTACTAGCTGTGAGGAGGAGGAGGTTAGCCTTGATGGCCAGGTGGTACCTCGGAAGGACACCTTTCGGTA